TCTCTCTCAAGTGACACTTCCGAGAATGCCTAAGATGTTCTAACGACATTTAGAAGTTACTTCAGAAAGACTAAAATCGGACTTTAAAAGATGGACATTGCTCAACAACGAAGCATTATATCCCTGTTTCCAACCTATTTTCCGATTATGTTGTACTAACTGATCAAGTAGTAAGAACAAATAACACGAAATTACCAGTCATTTGTGTGACATTTTCGTAAAGGGTTAAAAAATTGGCTTCGATATCATTGGCATGGGAGTAAAATATTTTCCGAAGGCTTTTAAGCTCACAGCAAGTGTCAAGGATATAGGTTTGATTCCATACATCTGGTAGTTAATGACAATTACTTACGGAGAAAAAGTCAAAACCACTCTCTCACTACTTATTACAAAAAAGTGTGAGACGTTGCGTGTAGGTGTATCAATGCGCAAAGCTAATTCTACTATAGCATACTCACAAACTGAAAAAAAAAAGTTGCAAATGTGAAAAAAGATTTTGAACTTGCAACTACATTGGCGAATAGATCGCAGATCTCTAACAACAAGAGAAGGGAAAGGAATACTCACTCTGGGAAAGGAGCGAATACAAAAGCGGTGTTATTTGAGGGATTAATGGTATTTCCCGAGAATAAACACACAAAAAAACGTAAAAAATACCAAAAGAATGGCCAAAACTGGTCCTTTGAAAATCCACTGGTTTCCGTTGAGCCAGCATCTCATCAGGTGTTTTATGATGAGAGAGTTAGCAAATAGACATACAATTTTTCTCATTTTTGAGACGTGAAAGGTGCACTCATTCTTCCTTCTATTTTAACTATTCCTGCCTGACGTAACCCATACTGGTCCAAAACCCGTTTCTTTCGGGCTGACGAGACCTGACTAAAATTCAATGTCGCCTAAGATGAATCGCAACTACGATCCCTGTCACACAAAAACACCCTGCGCATGTGCCCTAAACAACTTCCATGACAACTGGACACTGGAGCAACGTCATGCTAAATAGTCTGATAAACCTCGATAAAATTCCCAATGTTGAATATTGTCATTCGATTAATTATCTTCAATCAGAACGCAAATTTCAAAAGATTTTTTTTCTGTAATTGATGATCAGTAAATTTTATCGAGGGAATGGTGATGCACACAAAATAACCAGCTGTCTCAATTAAGAAGTATCAAGACAATGTGACTTTCTCCATATAATAGCTTGACGGTTCAATGGCTGCCACCAAACTCACAATCACGAGAGGGATTCCTGCAAGACATACATATATTCACCAAGTCAAAATAGAGATGGTGCATTGTGAGGGCGGATCAAGAGGGTCTGTCACAAAAGATAGCTTTGGAATCTCCAAGCAACAATGTTTCTACTTTTTTATGTTACTCTTAAGACCAAAGGGTTAGCTGATTATATGAAAATTGAGTGCTCTTATAAAGTGGCCGTGGAATTTTCCAGCCCTTCTAATTAAGATGCTAAAGTGGTTGTGGTATGGACCCTTTCAAGGAGCATACACGTTTTTCCAGGAGGGTCTGTCCTTGAAAAGCTCGTGAAAGTTAATGGGGAACTTGCACCATCGTTTCGCAGAGATAGATGCAGCATTTTGCTATGGGCAGTGAAGGCGTTGAAGATAAACCACGTCCAGAGGTCCTTAAAATAAGTTTTCATTCAAGAAAGAGGATGTTCACTCATTTCTTCAATTCGCAGGGGGTCCTTACAAAGCTACAATCACTGTTACATGTGACATTACTTCATGTTTACTTCGGAACATCTACCGTACTCACCCTACTTTGCTCCTTGCAATTTCTGGCTCTTTAAAAAAATTAAATCGGCCATTGCTGGAGAACCATTTTCAAGGGTGCAAGACCTTGTCATGGCTCTCCATTCAGATATGAGAGCTATGTCTACTTAAGAGTATCCAAAATGCTTTCAGAACGATGTATAGGAGTCGAGGGAAGTTATCTTCGAGGGGATGTAACTGTAATTTCAGAAATTGTAGCTGCATCGTGGGAAATATGGGAGAAATGACAGAACTTTTTCATTGGCCCTCGTACTACACATATCGTCTTAAGTCCGTCACATATATGACACAATTTTCAATCAAGTCTACCTCAAAATGAGAAAATAGGTATCTTATTTTTGCCTGGGAAAGCTGTACCCACTTTCCCACCATCGGCTACTCGTTCCTTTTTTAAAAGTCTCCGTTTCATTAATATATGTTACTTACCACCTGGGAACGTATTGGGAGATACCGTGCCGAGACCTTGGTTACTGCCCGAAGCGATAGGCCGAGAGCATTACGCAATAGAGAGGTGAAAAACTTTTATTTTCTCTCTTTTTTTCAACGAGATGCTTGCCAAAAGAACCCGACCTATTTCTTTCATAAATTTAACAATGTTTAAGTGAGTAGATGGTAGGGAAAACAGAGGTAATACAAAGAACAGAGAAACGTTAAAAGGAAAAAATTTTAAGTGCGTAAATAAAGGCGATTTAAAAAGCTCTTAAATATCTGTCACGATCTGACACCTGTCGATTGGAGAGCACGCGAGAGGAAAAAAAGCGTATATACACTTTTGAAAACAAATAATGGGACACAAAGACGAGTTTACTGACTATCAGGAAAATGGTTTCTTCAAGAAAATTCAGTAAATGGCAAAGAAAGTAATCGTAATTTAATTCAAACGTATGTTTTGAGTTGTGATAGTTCGCTCGTTTCTTTACTGCAATGGCGTTTGTAAAACTTGTCTTTCTTCCATCAACAAACTTAATTTAAATGAGGCACTTTAACTAGACACAAGGTGACTCAATGTGGGTTATTCTTACTAAATCCTTTCGGTTTCTTTTATACAGTCAATGGTACAAACGTACAAACGTCCAAATTTAACGGGCTTGCAAAGACTTACCGATTGTATTTATAGACTCAAAACCTCGCTTACCGTTTTACAGCAAACAAAATGTTTCAGAGAGTTCAGATATCATATAAATAAGAGTTACCTCGGCTAATTCAAGTGTAGAAAGATACCTTACCTCTTTTTATGAAGGATTAAGATGAAGCACAAACGGTTTTTAGGCCGTGTGGCAACCAACCCATATATTGGCAATAACACATATTTTACCACAAAATTCAATTCGAAACCAATTTTTTGAAAGCAACAAGAACGATTTCAGACAGAGGGCCTTAATAAGTAACTAATTAATTATCTATCAGCATAGTGACAACTTTCAATAAAACAAAGAAAAGATCTTAAGATATAGTCTATTCCTTCCATCTCCTTCCTACGTTGTAAAGTTAAATCGCGTGAAAGATCATATTAACCACAGAAATACAGTCGTTCTGCTCGTTTGTTTGTTTCTAATTACTTGTTAGTTGCGAAGTAGGTGTGGACCATAAATTCCAAATACACCAGTTAGAGATTCTGCGAGAAGCTTAACTGTCAGTCAAAAAAAGATAACAGCAGCAACTTGATTATAAAATAAGAAGGGGTGTGGTCGTCCTATATTAACAAAAAGTAAAAAGACCAGGCAGCCAATGGTATGAAATAAATTACAATACTGGTAAGATACGCAACGTCCACAAATAAATAGTTCGCAAAAAATCACAAACCAGATTACCAGGAAAGAGGAAAGAGGAAATAAATGAAATATTTTAAGCGTTTTTACCAACTTTGCGAGAGGGTATAAAAAGACAGGTTACCTTTTAATTGACGTGATCAAAAAGACCTTTATTTTCACATTTACATGTCTCGTGTAAGAGTCTCCGCATGGTTGTATATGTGTCATAAACACACTCAAACTGAAGCGTTCCTGAAAAGACAGTTACATGTGCAATATCAGGAACGACCTAAATTCCTTCTTTGAATGAAACAGCCACCTTTCACAAATTCTGCAAGAAAAGGTTAGATCCGAAATAGCAATCTTTGATGGACCCTCCGAAAAACTGTCTAGTGTCCCATTCAAAGCCACAACACGTGTTCAGTGAAACCAGGTTTAACTGAATGAAAATCAGTAACAGAAAACGATAAACATCAGTTCCAGAAACTCCTACGAAAAAGAAACTTAAACAATGTTTAATAAAACAGGTTTGAAACGCGTTTTCTCTTAGGTGTAAAGGTGATAGAAAACTTAAGTGTAGCCTTTGTTTGAAAAATATCACTTTCGTAAAACGCTACCAAAAAGTTTTAAGGATTAAGCCGTGTATATGTACAGGTCAGAAACATTTCATATAGCTCCCTTTGAGACGTTTAATGGAAAATATAATAACATTTTCTACAATAGCATTATCCGACATATTTCATCGAACGTCTTTCATGCTTTTAGAAAGGCATATAAACTGCAATATATTTTTTGTATAGCAAAGAAATTATTAAATTGGTCAATTTTTCAGTGCTATCGTGGATATCTTTGCTATTCTTTTTTTTTTTACCAATAAAAGATAGGCTGCTAGAAGAGAATTCCCCTTTGCTCTTTTTCTGGTAACGAAGTGGGGAACTTATAATCAAAGAATGAAACACGGAAGAGAAAAAAGTGCCTTCCAAAGGATATTTGGAATGATCGGGGTGCGGAAGAAATACACCTAAGATTGAGGTGATCAGACTTGGTTACCGCAGAAATAATCAAAATCACTGATATTTCACATAATTCTTGTCGACCTAGCTGCTTTATTTGTAATTTATTTCTGCAATTTTTCAATCAGCCAGGAATCAAGGCGTCAAAAAGTCTCCGGATCTATCGTGTTCATCTCAATTAACACAGACCTGTTAAGGATGGATCCATTGCAGAACACCGTCGTATTTCCTTTGCAGAATGAGCTGATCTTGGTAACTTAAGAGACATCATATTTTTCGAGGCACAGTAACCTAAAAACAGAGTTGCAGCGTTGAGAAAAACTCAATAAAATATTACACCTCCAAGAAACGACTCTTATTTAGTTTCTTCGAGAAAGCTTCGTGTTCTTTCTTTCGTACTATCGTCTGCCTGGGCAATCGTTTATTCGTATTCTGGCTACGTAGCGACTGCAGATCTTTTACTTTCTAAGAGTGGAGGGAAGATCGTGGAAAAGGAGAAAGACATTTAAGTACAATTAATATGATCGAGAGCAACTGATCGAGACTGTACATAATGAAACGCAAATTAAAAAATAATATGTATGCCTCTAGTTAGCGAGCGTTTTTTTTGCAGAGGAAAGGTACTTTAACATCATGATAATCCAGCTAAAAAATCTGGAGAGAAGAGACAGTGGTCTAACTGACAATATTATTGTGAGGAGATTAAATTCTGATTGAAAAAACTAGACCAAGAGCAGCTGCTTGGGGCTGATTCTACACAATTCAATTTATTCAAAGTAAAGAAGCGTGAAGATGAAGAAGTGAGCACCGAGATCCGAAGCAACGACGAAATTAGTGTGGTAGCCCATTATTTCCCATCATCGTTTCCCATTATTTCACTTACAAATCCTTTCTTCCTTTATTCAAAGATAAAACTTGTCTCAAAATGTAAGTAATAACTCACATTGGTCACAATCATCCTCATCTGATCCATCAGAGCAGTCCTTATCATAACCATCAGATCGATTATCCATCGACAGAATTTTATCTCCACTTTTGCATAAGGAAAAGAAACAGCAGACGTTGAGACCACGCGAGGGAAGGCTTCCGTCCTTGACTATCCTATTTGGGGGCTGAGTACAAGTGGTTGTACCCTCAAAAAACGATAATTATAACAGCTCCATGCAAAATATGTTTCCTCTATGTCATAATAATTCAATGTGTTATGTTCTCATTACATCTACAGATACATCTCTCTGACCTGAATTTGAAGTGTGCACACAATTCACTCGGCGTTGTTCAACACAGCAACCGGCCCTCAGTATCTGATTGTAGGTGCTACAAAAGAAATGGATATCATTTTCCTTCCAGCTATCGCCATCATAATAGATGGTGCCATTCCATCTGCAAGCTAGTGGAAAATAAAAGGGTGCGGATAATTAACCAGTCTACTAGAGAGCAACAGGCATTTATTATACAGATATTGGTGAAATACCAGGATTTTTCCTTTTACTAAAAAGTCGTATCTTCATCGCGCGCAGTGAAAATACTATTTTTATCTTTCACGTGTGAGGATATTGATGTCGCCATGATTACTAACATGATTAGCCATGGAATTTGATAGAGTTTTTCTCTTCTTCATTAGAGTTTTGACTTTTTGGAACATAAAATATAAGTATTATTGTCTTTATTTCTCCTTTATAACTTTATATCCGAGTTTCGTAACATTTTTTTCACATGCATTTTGCGATAGGTGACCACTTTAATTGCACTATTTTGCAGTTTCGAAAATGAATAACAAAGTTGTTTCTTACGTGAAAATTTCATCAGTATCTATAAAATAAGCAGAACATTACATGGCCCCTTGTGAATACGAATTTTGTCTTCTGTTCAAAGTATCTCTTACAAGAAGCCGAAATTATTTCTCCTACTGCTTGTCACTCCAGTGAATGAGGTTTGTCACAATATTAGGAATTTACGTCTACCGTGTTTCGCTGCATCAAGTTTAGCATCCAAACCTTTAAGCGTTTTCATTTACCTTTACACTTGCCGCGATTTTTGGCCAGAAAACGGAATACATCACACTCGTTTTGAATACAATATTCTGTCAGAGATTCTTCCTCCAAGCTATTTATCACTGAGATCTCTCGTTTACAGTGGATCTTGCCAGCTCGACAGGAGCACTGAATGCAGTTACCCACTGACCACGTGACCCCCTCGAAGTACTGATTGGACTTTTCATCCTGACATGAGACCTCTATTTACACAAAATGACAATGTTGCAAAAAGCGCTCAGATTAAAAAATGTTCAAAATAATTCTTAGGTATGTCATGTACTGGGTTACTATTAATTAGTAAAAGGAAAGGGGCCAAAAGCAGCAGTTAGTTTAACAATTTCCCAGCCGATTAAAATAAAACTAGGCACCGACGTTCGTCAAATAAAGATGAAGAGGTTGAAAAAGTTGATACCTGGTTGTTTGAACATTATCATTTCAATTACGCAATCATGTGCATCATCATAATCAGTATTACCCGACGAACAGCTATTACGACTGGGATCACGCAAACAGCCCGGAGTCTTTTTCCGGCAAAGACCATTTGAAACCAGCTGATGACCATTAGAACATACTGTTAGGTGGCCTCTCAACATTTTTGCTATTTCTTGGAGGGCTAAAGAGGAAAGCGATATGATTTTTTAGAGAAGCAAAAACAATGTTGTAACAAATTAGCAACAACGGTGGGACTTGCTCAAAGACAAGGACAGAACAAAAATCTTTTGAAACTTAAGATTTAACTGATTTTCAGAATAAAAACAAGTGATATAAAACGACGTTTCAATCTCTCTATAGATATATTTGAAAAATCAAAAGATGTTTGGTAGTTGCTGTGACTTCGTTCCATGAAATTTCGCAACGAAGTAATTACCATAAATCAAACACAAAAATACCTTGATTGTTTCCAACGACGAGCGTATCGAGAATTGTCTTCTCGAAAAACAATTTCGAAGAAATTATCGAACTGCATTTGAGAGGGATCTTCGAAGTAATTATCATTAAGAGTATAATGTACCTGCACACTTAGAGGCACAGCAGATAGTTCCGCTGTAGACATAGCACTCAGGTCTGGCCATGGGAGGACAGACTTCACTACCATCAAGGTCTGTTCCATTGAAAAACAGTTCGCAACCTTTGTAATTCCAACTCTGGTGTTTCATTAAGATTCCACCATCTCTAGTCATCTCCGCACCTGAAATAGATCAGAATTGTTCTCCTGCGCATAGATAAAAGTTGTGACAGAAATAGTAAACTGTTGCAAAAGCTATGCAACAGTTTTAAAGCTAACATGATCGAAAATAATCGTACTGAAATAAAAGCACAATCGAGTTTGCAAACAACTTGTTCACTCAAAGGACTTCAAGACTTTCACCTTCACAAATATCTGTCCTCTCTCGAATGAACTGGAGAATATCACAAGCAGGTCGATGACAAGTCTCCTCTAGCCAAGTGAAACCGTTCCTGTGCCCTGGGAAGACGACTTTCACTCTTCTTTGACATGAGATTAGACTCTCCTTGCAATGACAATGAAGACATGGAGACGTCGACAAAGCTTGGTCTGACTTATATCCTAATCCTTCTTCGTCGCGGCAGCTGGCTAAAGTTAAAGACAACCAATGATAACTATAGCTAATTCATCGGACCTATAAATGGTTCATAACAGTAAGAGGTTATGTGTGGATAAGTCTATCGTCTTGTTCCAATTCACTCCCAAGCGTTCGCGATCGTACCTTTAATCTAATCAAAGGCGCCTTGGAGCTACCCCGTGGTATGTCTTAAGAGTGCCTGTCGTAATCAGACAAATTCTTAATTTCGCGGCAAGAGTGAAAAATTCGATTTCGCTCATATTCTTGTGGTAGATAGGCTAGGGCATGACAAAAACTACGGGATAGTCTCTTAAGGCAAAATATCCTTTTATTTCAAAGAATTATGCAAATTACCAAATTCTGTTAAAATCGTTATTTGACGCGCCATTTTATTAAACAAGTTTGAGAGCCTCACATGCAAAACCACATTACTCTTCCGTCTAAAAACACTCAAATATTGTTTTTTCAATGTTTAAATGTAGACTGGGTTGGTTTGGGAAAATGCTGCGTTATTTTTTGGAAGCAAAATAATTAAATTTTGAAGACATGTATTTCATTCACTTAAACGTACTTCGAAAAAATAGTTGGTTTTCATCATGTGCGAAAACTCCAAATGGATTAAGGTTCTTGTTGTTGAATCGCCGAAGGATGGTCTACAGATTCCTGTAAAAACTTCTTTGGGCAAATGATCGTGAGCGACGCGAGAGCTTTTCAAAGTACGTTAAAAATGCAAATATTTGCCATTGGCGTTAAATTTCAATTAGCGGGTTCATTAGACATTTATTTTAGCGTGCGCCACATGTCTTGACGTATGTAAAGCTGAAATAGTCACAGAGCTGATAATTTCGAAATGTTCTTACCTTATTTGCTGCAAAAGGCAGGTCCAAACTCCGATTTAACGTATTTCTCTCACTATTCGTCGCATATAAACGTTTGCTTCTGTTTACACAAGGTCTGGTGAACATCACCAACTGTCATCGTATTCATTAATACAATGAATCTTTGACCATCCTCGGCGCATATGACTGCCACTGCGTCTCAGTTTACGACGACTAAGACATTTGCGGATAGTTGCTTGCCTTGCGCTGCACCAAAATGCAATCACACTTGAACGATTGCTGCTCAGTGAGTCCTGGAATGCAGTGCGGTTCATTATTTGTTCGTCACGCAATGCGGTCGTCCCATTTTAGGGGGTAGGGGTAGGGCGATGTCTATCCTGATATGCAACCACTTGGAGTACACAATCTNTGTTCGATGACAACTTTAGGGTTTTCTCACCGAATGGCAAATCTTGCATCACATATGAACTAGTAATAAATGCTAAGAAATAGTCAAGTTGAGGCGGCGACACTTTCATCCTTTTGTTTTCAGCCAGAGGAACAGTGGCGCCTCAACCATGAAGTAGGATATAATGCCGAGCGATGTTGAATCTGTATCTAGACAGATTTGGTAGCCACGTTTTCAGTGCTTTGAAGCTGACCTTGTCAGCCATAATCGACAATAACTGCCTGCGTGTACTCCAGTGCCCTGCGCTCTGATAGCATTTGACAAGGACCCCCAACAATGTAGAGTCAATGTCACTTGCGTCTTCGTTAGACGATTGTAACCAGTCAAGTAGCATCTCTGCACTATTAGGCGCAATTTCTTCTAAAGCTGTAAAGACGACCTGCCTCGCTTTGCGCCTCTGGAACCGTTTTATTCTTTCTGCAGCTTCTTCCCAAGGTGTAACCATTACATGGCAGATGGGACTTATGTCTCTGGAGGCCAAAAACAAATTAAGTTTCTCTCTTGAGGTACTCGTCCCAAAATTATCTCCAGATGGTGTTGTAAAACTTTCAGATGGCTGACAGAAACTTGTTGGTGTTTCAGCATCTCTCATCGGACCTTGGGGTGTCTGTAAAGTCGGACGTACGTTGTCAAGGTTGAAGGTTACCTCATCATTATCCTGCAAATAGTAAATAACTTATCTTTATTACTTTTACAATTACAGCAAGGTAGAAATTAAGGCGTATTTTGTGACCAAAAAGCACAACGGTAACATGGGACATAGGATAAGATGCTGTGAACTTAAGGGGCAAGAATGCAAACAATGTAGCAGCAAGTATTATTATTTTATTATTATATAGGTAAATGACCCAGACCCAGCGCTGCGATATGCTAACAGAGTGGGAAAGATAGGGTTATCTTGCCCGATCAGCTCGGGAGTAACCGCTGTGTCCGTATTAAAACGTTGTATTATGCCACATAAAAATGCCATGGCGGATCAAAAGAGTTTATAGCAAATCGCATCAGACTCATCCGCATTTCTTAAATTGTGCTTAGTCATTTTGGGCCTATATCAGTGATTAGCATTTAACATAAGTAAAACTAAAACCACACGAAAAACCCTTTTAGGCATGCGACTTGTGCAGTGTCACGTGACGTCTGCACTATCGTTAACAGTTCCTTATAAAAAGGGGAGATGACAGATCTATCAAACAGCAAGTAGCTTATACTAAGAAGTTAACAATTTAGCTCTTGGCGAAAGGCGTGGTATACTCACTAACGTCATTCTTTCCATTTGATCAGTTATGCTACAATCAACTCCCATTTCTGCAAAGACTGGAGGATCGTGCATTTCATTGTCAATTATCTCTTTTAACCTCTGTCGACATATCCTTCACACACCTGAATTAAGAAATCGAAGACCACAGTCAGGCTGGGGTGTAACCTGTCATTAATTCACAAGACTTACCTGTCCCAACTTGTAGGAATAAACCAGTTTTGCGTAGTATGGCCTCTGATTCATTCTTTCCCAAACCTCTTTCACCCTTTGGCCACAGTCCTTTGCCTATACCATGGCCAAAAATTTCTTCCGGAACCCTGCATCTGGTGCTCGATCCCCTGCTCCAGCCTAACCCAAGTTTTGTGCGATGGTTAGGACATATCGTCATGGTGCGCAAACTTTCGCTTTTGCTGAATTTCCCCGCTCGGCATAAAATCAGCTCCACTTCATCTTCAGGTCCAGTAAATTTAT